AGCAAACAGCCAGACATATAGACAGAGAGAGGCAGCAGGTGGTGTCAGTAAGGTGGTCTCTCAGGTGTGGTAACCTTGCTTGTCACCGGCCCTCCTTCAACACCTTCTTCAGGTAGATAATCATCACCCCTGCAAAACGTGACCCATTAAGTACACGTCTCCCCCCCCCACTTTTTTTTTCCTGAGTATTCCCACGGTCTCACCCCATCAAGCTCCTTCCCACCCCCATTTCCTCCCTCCCCCTTCCCTCCCTCCCCCTCACCTGTGTATGTGGGGAGGGAGGGGGAGTTGTATTTATATATATGGATTGTTTATTTTGCTCACACACACACACACACACACACACACACACACACACATCACACACACACACACACACACACACACACACACACACACACACACACACACACACACACACACACACACACACACACACACACACACACACACACACACACACACACACACACACACACACACACACACACACACACACACACACGCGAGTCCTACAGGCAGCACCATCACACTTGACAACGCCAAACGAACGACAGACCGCCTTCTGCCCACACTGGCGCTCCCACAAAGTCAACATCGCCAGGGTGTTAAATAAGATTATCCACCCAGCCAAGGATAATTGATTGCCGTAGTTATATATTCATAAGTTTACTTTTGCCACCGAGTGTGTGTGTGTGTGTGTGTAACAAATTAACATTGGGCTATTGTGCATTGTAACGTTGTAGTCAACTATAGGTACAGGATGCTACTACTACCACCTACCACCATCACCACCCACCACTACCAACGCCCACCCACCTCCTACCACCACCCACCTACCACCACCTCCCACCCTCCCTACCACACCCCACCACCATCTACCACCACCTCCCACCCACCTACCACCACCCAACTCCCTACCACCACTACCACCAGCTGAATCGTCAGGTGTTAAACAGGTGAGAGAGAGAGAGAGAATCATAGAAAGAAAGAGAAACAGATAAATAAAGAAAGGTAGACAGAAAGACAGAGAAAGACAGACAGACATAGGACCAGTAAACTTCCTCGCTTCACCTGTCAATATTGTACCCGTCTTTGTTTACATCCTCCTGACTCAGCTAAATTACTCTTCTTTTTTTTTACAATTGTTATTTTCATTTATGTAAAACAACATTAGTATGAATAATTATTTGATTTATTTTTTTTTTTTTTACTTTTATTATCATTTTTTTCTCGTGTTTTAAAGAAAGAAATTGTGAGTGTATTATTTTTTGGGTTATAAATTCTTCGTTATATTCTATTGCTACCTACTCTTCCTCTTCTCCTCATCTTCCTCTTGATCCTCATATTCTTCCTCCTACTCATCTCCTCTTATCCTCCTCCTCCTCCTCCTCCTCCTCCTCCTCCTCCTCCTCCTCCTCCTCCTCCTCCTCTTCGGGGTGGGTAACCTCCTAAGCGCCAGTAACCCAGAGATGACGTCGTGTGTGCTGTCTCCGTACGTTTCTCCCTCCTCGATATCAATGTTGACTGACGCGCGTTCACCCCGGCAGCAAGGTCATAGGACTCTGCTTGAAGAAGCCTAGCCTGTACTCTAGCCTGTCCTGACCCAACCTGTAGCCTGTTCTGACCCAACCTGTAGCCTGTTCTGACCCAACCTGTAGCCTGTCCTGACCCAACCTGTAGCCTGTTCTGACCCATCCTGTAGCCTGTCCTGACCCAACCTGTAGCCTGTCCTGACTCAACCTGTAGCTTGTAATGAGTTTTGACCGAACCTAACCTAACCTAACCTATCCTGTTCTGACCAAGCCTGTAGCCTGTTCTGTCTCAACCTGTCCTGATCCAGCCTGTATGTAGCCTGTCCTGACCCAACCTGCAGCCTGTCCTGAGTTCTGACCTAACCTAACCTAACCTAATCCAACCTAGCCTGTAGCCTGTCCTGACCTAGCCTGTAACCTGCCAGTCCCATACAAAACAAAATCCAACCCAAGGCGATTTTTCATATATCACAACGGATTAATTTCTACAAAAACAACTACTTTCAAATTATTTCCCAGCGATTTATTTCCAGGTAATTAATGTCTTATTTGCCATACTGATTAAGGGGGGATTTATTCTCGTATTCCCCCTAGCGATTTATTTGCCTGGGTTACTGCTCTAATGACGGGATTTCTTTTAATAATCCAATTGGTGATTTATCCCCCTATCCCCCACGGGTCAATAATCGAGTTGGCTCTTGGTGATTTATCGGTCACTTGTCCCGGTGATTTATGGGTAATTTATTCTGGTGATTTATGTGAGATGTATATTAGCAATTAATAGTTGGCTCTCTCTCTCTCTCTCTCTCTCTCTCTCTCTCTCTCTCTCTCTCTCTCTCTCTCTCTCTCTCTCTCTCTCTCTAGTGGATTTCATTGCTGTTGTGATCTAGGAATAGAACAGTCACCACCACAAACACAACCAAAATCACCAAACCACCCCCACACCCCCCACAACCACACCCCACAACCACCACCACAACCACAACCACACCACAAACCCCCATAACCACACCCCCACAATACAACCACACCTGAAACCCCACAACCACCACCACAACCACACTACCACAACCACCACACAGCCCCTACAGCCACACCACCACAACCACACACACCCCCACAACCACACACAGAGAGGTCAACCCACAGTAAAGGTCCACATTGAAATTAATCAGAGGGTCGTTACAGGTCATCTCCCCCGGCAGGTGTGATATAGGTGACCAACGCCTTTACCTTAACGACCAGTCAGTAATTGGACGTGTTGACGGAGGCAAGACGAACCGCTCCCTCCAGTGATCACGACCTTCTCTCTCTCTCTCGCTCTCTCTCTCTCTCTCTGGGTGTATATGTGTAAGATGGAAATACATATGAGTTGGGTCACAGGTGATTGGGTACAGTCACGATCCCAGCTTGAGGTGGGACAGAATAGCATAATTTATAGGTGTAGGTTAGGTGGCTGTGTGTGTGTGTGTGTGTGTGTGTGTGTGTGTGTGTGTGTGTGTGTGTGTAACCAGTTTATTCATTCGTTTTAAGCCTAAGAAAAAACAAACATCCCGCAATACTTATCTCCAGTCTGACCACACACACACACACACACACACACACACACACACACACACACACACACACACACACACACACACACACACACACACACCACAATAAGAAGGCAAAAGTGTAAACATTCTTCTTCTTCTTCTTCTTCTTCTTCTTCTTCTTCTTCTTCTTGCTTGCTTCTCTCCAACACATCAGGTATCACTGAAGGTGTAAGGGAGGAGGATGGGTGTTGGCAGGTGACAAAACCACTAATTAACTCAGGTAGAGAGCCCCCCATCCCTCCTCCCCAGGTACCCCCCCTCCTCCTTTGTTAACAGTACCTCTAAAGTGGTTTATCTGTGGTGGGTGATGGTCATACAGGGGAGTGACCGTCAGTGAGAGTGGGTGAGTGACGGTCCCTCCTAGCAGATGAGTGACGATCCTTCTGGTAGGTGAATGGCCGACTCTAACAGTGGATGAGTGGCCCCTAAAAAAACAAAGAATCCTCAAGGGAGTCTTAGGTATTTTTAGGGCCCTTTGAGCCTCTTTAAAGGACTCTAAGGATAGATAGGATTGCCCTGGGAGTCTCTTTAAGGGACTCTAAGGATAACCGAATGAGTCCTGTGAGAGATTCCTCGAAGATAAAGTCATCATCCTAGGTTAGGTTAGGTTAGGTTAGGTTAGGTTAGGTTAGGTTAAGTTAAGTTAGTCCTAGGATCTCAAGGGACTCTTTTAACAGGTTCTAGGGACGCTGAGAGGGTCCTTAGAGACACACTCCTAGCGGGACCTGAGGATTAAGTGAAGAAGTGTCGCATCACTGCTCATCGACCAGGCTATTGAGGCCTTGAGAAAAATAGAAATAGCCCATTTAGCGGTGCTCTCTCTCTCTCTCTCTCTCTCTCTCTCTCTCTCTCTCTCTCTCTCTCTCTCTCTCTCTCTCTCTCTCTCTCTCTCTCGTACATGGACCACATCCCCCCATTTTCTTTAACACCTGGAGTAACAAAAACTAATTAATGCCGTAATGAATTAGAGGCAGGTGTCATGGTCATTTTGCGGCCTGAGGCAAGTGGGAAAAAGTACTGGAGAAGTAGCGGGCTCGTTCCCCCTCCCCCCCTCATGAGGACACGTAGGCTGGAGGGTAGGAGGGGGTGAGGGGAGGGGGTGAGGGGATGGAGGAATAGAGGTAGGGGTTAGGGTAAGGGGTTGTTTAGAAAAGGGAAGAGGTGTCGTAGATGGGAGGGAGGGTGACCTAAGAGGGGGAGGAAGGAGAGGAGGAGGGGTGATTTGGAAGGAGAGGAAGGGTAATTTGGTTGTGGTATGGGGTAGGAGGGGTATAGGAGTGCTAGGTGTGAGGAAGGGGGAGGTAGAAGAGGGGGTGGAAGAAGCCAAGGACCCTGACGTATGGGTTATAATCCACGCGTATGAGGGCAATGTGACCCCCTCCCCCCCCCTACCCTCCAAGCCCCATTTCTCAATTTTCCTTTCAAAAATACATTGTCTGTCGACCCACCATAGAGAATGTGAATTCACGCCTTACCCCGGTACTCTTATATCATCCGAGTCACAATAAAGAGAAATGACGCCTTATTTCCGGGTCGACCTTTGGTTTGTGACGGGAGGAATCACACACACACACACACCTGAGGTATTGTGGTAATTAATGGGGCAGTGGACAGGTAAAAACCATTAATAACGGCGCTTGTTACGGCGTTAATAATGTGGTGGTGTAATCGGTAGCTGAGGAGGAGCCACCTGTCAACCTAGTGATTGAGAGAGTCGTGTGTGTGTGTGTGTGTGTGTGTGTGTGTGTGTGTGTGTGTGTGTGTGTGTTTAAGACATACACACACACACACACACACACACATAATATACACTCAAACAAGTCCAGGTGTAGTCAGCCCACACATCTACTCCAGCATCAACACTCACCTCATCTCCTTGGCGATGGCAGCTGGGTGTATCCTGATCCTGCGGGCGTGGTGTGGGCGTGGCAGGGTGGCCGAGACTTCACCGGCCACCCTCCACGCAGGAACAGGGTCGTCGAGGGCGTCCAGGGACCACGCACCGCCCACCCTGGCCGCTACGCCCACTTGGTGGCCACGGGGCAGGTCATTGGTGCTGGTGCTGCGGGAGGTGCAGGCCGGGGGCTGCTGGTCAGCCGGAGGAAGCTGTTTCCG